TTCCTCACTTTTTTTTTATTTCCTTGGCAGATGCACAACCCACAAGGCAGTTTTCTAGATTTTAATAAAGTGAATTAAGGGATTCATAACGATTTATGCTCATTCATAGCCACGAACCGTGTTCGTGTCCATTTCTTCTTTTAAATCTCAATACAAAAGCAGTGGAGTATCTCGTAAATATTTCACGGCACAGTCGAGTGGCATTTGCCACCTTATTGATGAAAATACATTTTCACTTGTCCTAATCGCAATTTCCGTTGCCTCCAACTGCAAAGTAATTTGATATTTTCAAATAAAAATTCTCACCAAACTATGTCCCACTTCTATGTTGGATTAATCTTCTTGGGTTTAACCCCCTTTTCAATGCTTTGCAACTGCCGCTCTCTTTTGTGAATGGTTGATCCACCAATGGCCCGACCGGTGTACCCCAAAACATAAGCACTAAAATGATGAAATGAATTACTCAAAACAAATGAGCATTCTCCAGCAGTTAGAATTTCAACAGCGGAAAATGACATCGAAAATCCCATGCATAAAAACGGTAAGTTTCTGGTTTCACCCAATTCTCGAAGCAAACGCTGCATACGGGTCTTTATCATGGCACATAATCATTTACATATAGTTTTTCCCAACTGTAACCCACGTTCCATTTAATTTTGATCTGACTGAAACTGAATGTCATTTTGCTGAAAGTAATCTGTGCCCCATTGGCAATCAGTTTAATATCGGTAAATGTGTTTAAAAAATGGCACGGCAAAATTTAGTTAAGTATGCCATTTCTCAAAAGTTCTCTAATCAAATACAAGCACTGTACATTCCATATTTGCCTTTAGTTGGTGGTCATGAAAATAGCATGATGCAACCCAAGAATACCGTTTTTGGAGTGACCTTAAAACAACTCAAGAACATCATTTCACTTTACCCCAAGATTATTCCTTTGGATTTCTTCTCATAACTAGTATATACGGAGAGTTCATACACAATCGTGAACGAAAGCAATAGAACTGACAGCTATGATTAGGGTTAGGACTAGGGTTTAGGGCTAGGGTTAGGTTTGTAAATGCGTTAATGTTTGTCCTCAGTAAACTGCCCAAAAGTAATGATACGGCAGTTACAAGGCGCCGTCGGATATAGATTTTGCTCAGAAGATTATGAGATGGCTTTCGGCGTGGTGGAGGGGTGTACCACAGCGAAAACTGGAGCCTAATCTTGAAACATTGACCAGACTTCACTCCCCCGTCTGCAGTCATCAATGTTGTGTCTAATGAGTCATGGTTTGTGCAGCGTGGGGAAAGTGTGGCTATTGACACGCGTCCCAACAATTTTGGCCGCTTCTGTGTATGCGGATAGGGTTAGGGTTATTGCTGGGGTTAGGGTTATTGCTGGAGTTAGGGTTAGGGCTGGGTTAGGGTTACAGTTACGGCTAGGGTTTGCTGAAAAACTAGGGTTAGGGTTACCTTTAGGGTTAGGGTTGATGTTACGGCTAGGGTTAGTGTTACCTTAAGGGTTAGGGCTAGGCCTAGGGTTAGGCTTACTGTCATGGTAAGGGCTAAGGGTTAGGGTAAAGGTTACCATTAGGGCTAGTGTTACGGCTAGGGTTAAAGCTGGGGTTAGGGGAGTGCTAGGGTGAGAGTTACCTATAGGGTTAGGGTTATCGTTAAAACTAGGGATAGTGTTTGGGTACCATTATTAGGGTTAGGGTTTCTGGTACTTTTACGGCTAGAGTTAGGGGTTACCGTTAGGATTAGGGTTAGTGTTACGGCTAGGATTAGGGGTGGGGTTAGATTTTTCTTCAGGGCTAGGGTTGGCATTAGCATTCTCTTTAGGGTAATGGTTTCGGCTAAGGGTTAGGGTTCCCATTAGGGTGGGGGTTAGGGCTAACGTTAGTGTTACTGTTAGTGTTAGGGTTCCCTTTAGGGTTTGTGTTTGGGCTAGGGTTAGGTTTCCCTTCATGGTTAGGGCTAAGGCTAGGGTGAGAGCTAGGGATAGGGTTAGGGTTGGGGTTAGGAATGGGGTTGGGGCGGCGGTTAGGGGTACAGTCGGGGTTACAGCTAGGGTTGGGGTTAGGGCTGGGGTGGGGGACGGTTGGGTTAAGGTTTGGGTTGGTGTTAGGGGTACGATTGGCGTTACTGCTAGGGTTAGAGTTGGGGTCACGGCTAGGGTTAGAGTTGGGGCTAGGGTTATGGGTAGGGTTACAGTTAGGTGTAGGGTTGGGGTTACTTTTGGAATTGGGTTAGGGTTAGGGTTATTTCTAGGGTTAGGGCTGGGGTTAGGGTTAGGGGTACGGTCGGGGTTAGAGCTAGGGATAGGGTTAGGGTTTGGCTTACTTTTGGGGTTTGGTTAGGGTTAGAGTTATTCCTAGGGTTACTTTTAGGGTTAGGGTCGTGGTTAGGGTGAGGGTTATTGCTAGGGTTAGGGCTGGCTGGGGTTAGGGGTAGGGGTACAGTCGGGGGAGAGCAAGGGATAGGGTTAGGGTTGGGGTTTGGTTAGGGTGGGGGTTACGTTTGGGGTTTGGTTAGGGTTAGAGTTATTCCTAGGATTACTTTTAGGGTTGGGGTTAGGGTTACGGGTAGGGTTATGAAAAGAGGGTTGGGGTTATTGATAGGGTTAGGGTTAGGGGTAGGGTTATGATAATAGGGTTGGGGTTAGGGATACGGTTAGGGGTAGGGTTAGGGTTAGGGTTATGATAAGAGGATTTGGGTTAGGGATAGGGTTAGGGTTAAAGACAGGGTTACGGGTTGGGTTAGAAATAGGGTAAGGGTTAGGATTGGGGTTGTGGTTAGGGTTAGTGATACATAGGTTTGTGGTTGGGGCTGGGGTAGAGTTAGAGTAAGTGTTAGGGTTAGGGGTAGGGTTAGTGGTTAGGGATAGGGTTGGGGTTAGGGTTAGGGGTAGGTTAAGGGTTAGGATTGGGGTTGTGGTTAGGGTTAGTGATACATAGGTTTGTGGTTGGGGCTAGGGTGGTGCTTGAGTAAGTGTTAGGCTAGGGGTAGGGTGAGGGTTAGGGGTTAGGGTTAAAGGTAGGGTTATCATAATGGGTTGGGGTTAGGGATAGGGTTAGGGTTACAGATAGGGTTAGGGGTAGGGGAACGGTAAGGGGTTAGGGTTAGGGATACGGTTTGGGTTAGGGGTAGGGTTATGAGAACAGGGTTGGGGTTATGGATAGGGTTAGGGTAGGGTTATGATAATAGGTTTGGGGTTACGGATACGCTTAGGGTTACAAATACGGTTAGGGGTAGGGATGGGGTTAGAGATACGAATAGGGGTAGGGTT